ATCAGTGTGTATGGAACAAGTAACATGTATCAGTGTGTATGGAACAAGTGACACGTATCAGTTTGTATGGAACAAGTAATTTGTACCAGTGTGTATGGAACAAGTAACATGTATCAGTGTGTTTCGAACAAGTAACATGTTTCAGTGTGTATGGAACAAGTGACTTGTATCAGTGTGTATGGAACAAGTGACATGTTTTAGGGTGTATGTAATTTGTAACTTGTATCAGTGTGTATGGAACAAGTAACTTCTATCAGTGTGTAAGGAACAAGTAACTTGTATCAGTGTGTATGGAACAAGTACCTTGTATCGGTGTGTATGGAACAAGTAACATGTATCAGTGTGTATGGAACAAGTAACTTGTATCAGTGTGTATGGAACAAGTAACATGTATCAGTGTGTATGGAACAAGTGACTTGTATCAGTGTGTATGGAACAAGTGACATGTATCAGGGTGTATGTAATTTGTAACTTGTATCAGTGTGTAAGGAACAAGTAACATGTATCAGTCTGTATGGAACAAGTAACTTGTATCAGTGTGTATGGAACAAGTAACATGTATCAGTGTGTATGGAACAAGTGACATCTATCAGTGTGTATGGAACAAGTGACATGTATCAGTGTGTAAGGAAAAAGTAACTTGTATCAGTCTGTATGGAACAAGTAACTTGTATCAGTGTGTATGGAACAAGTAACATGTATCAGTGTGTATGGAACAAGTGACATGTATCTAGGTGTATGGGAAAAGTTACATGTATCAGTGTGTATGGAACAAGTAATATGTATCAGTGTGTAAGGAACAAGTAACTTGTATCAGTGTGTATGGAACAAGTAACATGTATCATTGTGTATGGATCAAGTGACATGTATCAGTGTGTATGGAACAAGTAACATGTATCAGTGTGTATGGAACAAGTAACATGTATCTGGGTGTATGGAACAAGTAACATGTATCATTGTGTATTGAACAAGTAACTTGTATCAGTGTGTATGGAACAAGTAACATGTATCATTGTGTATGGAACAAGTAACTTGTATCAGTGTGTATGGAACAAGTAACATGTATCTGGGTGTATGGGAAAAGTAACATGTATCTGTGTGTATGGAACAAGTGACATGTATCAGTGTGTACGGAACAAGTAACATTTATTAGTGTGTATGGGAAAAGTAACATGTATCAGTGTGTATGGAACAAGTGACATGTATCAGTGTGTATAGAACAAGTGACTTGTATCAGTGTGTATGGAACAAGTATTATGTATCTGTGTGTATAGAACAAGTGACATGTATCAGTGTGTATGGAACAAGTAACATGTATCAGTGTGTATAGAACAAGTGACATGTATCAGTGTGTATGGAACAAGTAACATGTATCAGTGTGTATAGAACAAGTGACTTGTATCAGTGTGTATGGAACAAGTAACATGTATCAGTGTGTATAGAACAAGTAACATGTATCAGTGTGTATGGAACAAGTAACATGTATCAGTGTGTATAGAACAAGTGACTTGTATCAGTGTGTATGGAACAAGTGACATGTATCAGTGTGTATAGAACAAGTGACATGTATCAGTGTGTATGGAACAAGTAACATGTATCAGTGTGTATGGAACAAGTAACATGTATCAGTGTGTATGGAACAAGTAATATGTATCAGTGTGTATGGAATAAGTAACATGTATCAGTGTGTACGGAACAAGTAACATGTTCCTGGAAACGAGAACGTGTACAAGTACATGTATAGGCACGATGCTGTGTTGAATAGGTAATGCCTATTTTGATTATGGAGGCGATATGAAGTCTATGCAGCACAAGTACATCCGTGATATATATCTGAAATGATTGTGCATTAACTAAGCCAATGTCCGTGAGTCTGTAATGATAGAGATGTGTGTAATGTTCAGCCAATTACCACCACTAATTTGTCATGAGGAAATCATGTGAACTACACTTAAATAAAACTACTGTTTGACATGGCTGCGCGAACAAAGGAAGCAATGTTAACACGATCCACCCGATGACTGCTTGTTAGAATGAGACGGATGCTTTAAAAGCTAAAGGCAGCTCCATTTATCACAATCTTCTGGCAACATGGCGGAAAGCCTCGAGTGTAACAACGAGCTGTAAAATGCTTCTTCCCCTCTCTTAGCTCCGGACGCCATTATGTCATCTATCAAAATCATCAGCGTCCAACTTGGGACATTATTCTTTCGATTCTTGACGATTATTGGCCTTTTGAACCTGTTCGTCTGACATCTCGCGAGTGTTTGCGTGATCGATGGTGGACAAAAGGGATTGGCTGTTACAGACAAGACCAAGGCCGTGTCACTCACACCTGATGTATCACTACGCCCCTATGGACTTTTCTCTTTGGACTATTTATTCGCTTGGCTGACGAAACAGTAGCAATTACATGTTGAATTAAACGAGTATTTATTTTCAGATAATTAATTGTACGACCAACTGAGGTTGTTGGCTGAATGATATTATTGATTTAAAGGAATTGAATAAAAGCGACAAGAAACATTTCCACAATCATAAGAATCTCTTCTGACACCAGAGTCGATTGTATGACTTATGGCATGTGTTTATGAATCACTATCACAAAGTGATGATACCAGGTGTTCGCGAAGAGGTCGGCGTACTCTGTACCACCAGTGGCACTCATCACAAACACATGCAAAGGCAAGGCAATTGTTCACCTGAAATTAATTATTAAAATGAGCATATATCTACCCCGTTTGAATACCTTGTCAAAACTTACCGTTCGGAATTATATATTTACAGCATATTACTATGATATATTCAAATAACAAGCATAGATTATGTAAGATATGTAAGAAAAGTGCATGATTAAGAATTGCCTCGCAAGGTCTTCTGAAACAATCAATCGGGTGCAGACAGATGACGAGTGACCTAGACGACACATTATGCTGATAGCGCACATGTAAGTCACCAAACAATTATTCCAGTCAAACTACTGCGTCTCTCGCCAATCTACAGAAATAGGGTCATTAGTGTGAAGGTTTCCTGCCGTAGTGAAACCATTTTATGGGCGTTCATGATCATCGTTCCCAATTTCGGAGCTTGAATCAGTTACCTTCGGACATTAGGTGTAAATAAAGTCCAAGCTGGTTAGAAACAGCAACGTATGACGTCAACCGTGGTCAAATGAATGCAATGAATGACGCTCAGAGTTTACACGCCTTGACATATAAACGGACTTGGAGTAACAGGACTCAAATGAAAAACAATGAAAATAGCACAAAATGCTATTGAATATCATTACACGTTAATGATGCTATTGAAAAAGCACAGATCAGAAACGGCCTTTGCATGAAAGGGCATTGTAATGCAATATTAAACTACAGAAAAGACAGAATGACCAATAGTGACTCCAGATGTTATGTACAAGAGTCATGGATACATCTGGGAATCGCCAGAAAAAGAACATTTCTCTGTTGTCCAAAACCACCGTTATCCATTCGGAATTTGGTCCTAAATTGTCTCATAAGAAATACCCTTTGCTAAATTTATTTACGATCACTAACCTGATGATCACAGTGCTTCATATTCATGATCTTATCTCAAAAGCCATGTAAGACAAAGCGGGGGTTTCTATGTTTTCAGGGCAGGGGAGTGGTCTAGAGGTTAAAGCGCCCGTACGTCACGCCGATGGTTCGATTTCCCACAAGGTTAAAGCGTATGACGCCCACTTCTGGCTTTCTCCGCCGTGCTGTTGCTGGAATATTGCTACAAGGAGCGTAAATCCATTCTCACAGACTCATATATTCATCTAAGCCAGATCGGTTTACAACTCTGTCCTTATGTATAATGAATATTATGCACTTCTAACACACTTTAAAGTTACTTATTACTACTGTGTTGTAAAATAATGTAATCATGTTTTCTTGATAAAAACATATGAAGTCATGATCTCATCTTGTATGATAGCATTTCCTGTTTCCAAACTCTTGAGCAGTACGCCATAGTTATGATTGCCTACAAATGAGTTACGATTGCCTATACCATGTTAAATATTGCATTTTTGAAAAACGTCTTTACTTAACACTGTCTTCAAAATTTTGTAAACACGTTCGTTGAACATGTGCTTCACACCAGAAAGTCCCAATCCTCTTGCTTACGTATTCACTTTCGTACGGATGCCGAGTTCTGAAACCACATGTCCTCAGTGGTACAAGAATGACCCACGAATCTAATTACTAAGAAAGGCACATATACTGAGTCAAATTAAAAACTTCACATTTTGAAAAGTAATCCCATATATGATATACAACGGACAAATATATCAGAGAAGGTATTTTTAATCATTAATATCCAAAGAAGGATTTTAATTGACGGTGGTAACCATAATTTGTTCCAAGCACCTACGGTATTCGGTAATAACATCAACAGTTTAAATCATAAGTCCCAAGCACGAGAATATGATGGCACACAAGTTCAGTTGCGTGTATGGCCACCATGTGCGTTAACAACTGCCACACAACACCTCCGCATGGACCTTGTGATGCTTGTGAACACATGATTGGGAAGACGACGCCATTGTTGCTGCAAAATGGTGCCAAGATCTTGCAAATTCTGTGGTTGGTTCTAGAGAGTGCGCTGACTTCTGCCAAGAGCATCCCAGACGTGTTCGATGGGATTGATGTCGGGAGACCTTGACGGCCAGTCCATGACGTTGACTCCCGCATTCTGAAGGAAATTCCTTGTCAAAATTGCTGTGTGGGATCTGGCATTGTCGTGTTGGAAGATCAAACCAACTCCATGTGCTGCCATTTAAGGCAGAAGTTCTGGTGCCAGTACCTGGCCGCGGTAAGCAGCAGCGTTGAGGTTGCCACGGATGACAAGAAGCCTGGAACGTGCTGGACACCTGCACTTTCCCACAGATGGCGTGAACAACTTCACTGCTGACTTCTTCACAAACTGGCAATCTTGACAAGGAATCTGCATCCGCATTAGACTTTCCAGGTCTGTACTTGATGGTGAAGTTGTACATGGATAAAGCAGCCAACCACCTGTGTCCTGTGGCATCTAACTTTGCAGTAGTTAACACATACGTAAGTGGGTTGTTGTCTGTAAAGACTAAAAACTCGTTTCCATATAAGTAGTCATGGAACTTTTCGGTAACACTCCACTTGAGGCACAAAAATTCCAATTTGTGAGCTGAATAGTTCCGTTCCGAGCGTGTGAGTCCTCTACTGGCGTAGGCTATAACTCTAGATACCCCATCTTGCTCCTGGTATATAACAGCTCCTAATCCCTGATATACCTGTCTACACTGTCAGGAAGGAAAATGGACAAGGACGCACCAGGACCCTGCATAGAAATTTGTTACTTCCTGTGAGTTCTCTTCCACGTCAAGACGTCACACCACCTAAGCCTGCTCCCAGAACTAGTGTTCCTAGACCAACAGTAGTTCCTAGAAGATCAAGGAGAATCCAAGGACAAGACCCAGATTATGATGAAGATGAGGATGATGACTTCATAGTTGTTTCCACTCCATCACAGCCGTCAGTGTCAACTTCTAGAGAAGATGATAGGCCAACTGAGGTTAGAGTAGATGAAGATAGAGCTTCTACTTCAAGTGATCAGGATGTGGAAGAGCCTGCAGATTCTGTTCAGGAACAGGATCAAGAGTCCGATGTGGATCAGGCTGAGGATCAGTCATCAGAATCTGCAACCTCAGACACAGCTTCTGTACCAGAGGATGTCACTCCTGCAGTTCAAGACCAGGATCTAGAACCGATTAGAGGATGTGACAACTCAGTTCCCCAGGTAGCTCCTAGACCAGTACCAGCTCCTAGACGCTCTACCCGAGAACGGAGAAAGCCTCAGTGGATGCAATCTGGAGATTACGTAATGTCTGCTATCACTGATGTTCCAGAGGACTGGAGAAGTCGAGCTGATTATCTACTTTCACTGATAGGTACAGGAGTTGTAAATGACGTCACAGCCAAGAGTATGCTTTTGTCCCTTATTTCCGGTCATGACAAATGATGAGGACATCATTTTGCCGAGGGGAGGAAGTATGTAGTAGGTGTTAATTCTGCAGCTTGTAAATATGTTAGTATTTTTAGTGTAGATAAAGTAACTTGTCTTTTCTATTTCAGCTTGTTGATTCAACAGAGGGTTGTGTCATTTCCTGGTTTCTATCTATCATTAGTTGTGTCCTTATCAGTATTTGCTACTGATAACTTTCTACTGGGTCAAAGGTCAATGGTCCAGTCTATTTTACTTCCAAGGGTGTTTTGTTCTATTGTTTGCTCGTCATTAGGGTTACCTGTTGTGAGCCAATTAGTATACCTTTCAATTCAAATCCCTTTCTCACCTGCCATTGCTAATCTTATGCTGCACACACCCACCTGCACTGCACAGCAATGGATTGAGGATCAAGTTATCAAGGTTAGTAATCATAATTAATCTGTATCAATCAAAACATTATAATTTCAATCATTAGTATAAATCAAGTAATAAATGATAAAATGTGTTTTAAATAACCTGTAAACATAAACAAACGATAGGTTGAGTGAATGAGGTGAGTGTGATGAGATTAGGGTCTGATTCATGAGTATTGCTTATCTATACATATATTTTATATTTCAATGTATTGGTTATTTGGTATTTTGCGTATTTTGGTATTTGATGCATATTTGCTATTATTTAGTAAATCTGGTGTATTTCTAGACTTTGTACATATCTCTCTAGATGTATGCATGTATTTATTGATAGTTGTATGAATGAATGACTGAAGTTGTATTTCAGTGATGCATGTATATGCCGTGATTATATATGTTATTTACAATATTATAATTAATATTGTATCTGTATTTAGTTTCATGTGACTGTCGAATGAGACGACTGGCAGAAGGCATGTTACACTCTCGTGTCACACACAGGGTATGTTTTGTATATAGTTTATCTATATAATATGTTCATGTTGTGCATTCATTATGCATAATATGATTATGTGATGATTTAATGCTTTCCTCAGTTATGCGTTTAATAATGTGTAATTATATTGTCTTTGTATATGAAGGTACATCTGCACTGATTAGATATCGAGGCAGAAATATATTTGCGTATCTGCTGTAATGATGTAATCAGTTATTAAGAAGCAGATCGATACTTTACATTTAATGTGTTATTGTACATTTATTCTGAAACATGTGATATATTGTGATTTTAAATTGTTTCAGGAGTGTCTTCTATATGCCTTGCTGAATAAACTGAATTTTCTCAGAACCCCGTGGACTGTAATCTCTTGCAACTAAGGATTACACATAAGGTCTACAACAATGTGATAAAAAGGTTTGTTTGTAAATACACAATATTGTCAATGTCACGTCTAATTTACCATTAAATATACATATTTTGCGCTGTATCACAAAGTGCTACAATGTTAGTGTAACGCACTGCACGCGAGGCAAATCCCAAGGCTACACTGCCTACGTCACGGTTCCAATTGTCATACAAGATTCATAACACCAATCGTGTGATCACACGGGGACACAGGTCCCAGATGGTTACCTTTCAATCACGTTTAATTTATTTACACTGCAAACATCCAACAATAAATACCAAACCATGAGAAGGAAGGAACATTGTACTTTTACAATTATTAAACTTTTGGCGTCAAGATGGCTGCTGTACAGTTGAAGTCGCGTTATGATATTCCCTATCCTGTCATTAATGTTTTTGTCACGAAAGGAATACTGAGCAAGAACAAACCTTTCCGACAACGTTACATAACAAGAAAATATATGCGACTTTTAATAACTTACAGAGTACCCGATTCTCTCATTTTACTACATGGCATGAGAGATACCCGAGCTTTACAAATCACGTATATTGACTTCCATCGGGTTATAAACCCAGCAGATGCCACGGGTCATGCAAAACCTATATCTTCATTATAAATATCCACGTAAATTGTTTTCGATGTGTATGTTGATCGCAAAAACTATTTTGGTCAGTTTTTTATTTCAAATTATAATGTTAACTATGTAAGGATGACATAAAATAAGCAACTTAAGAAAGACAGATAACAAAAGCATGTGATCTACGAGGGTCGCCAACTTGCAACAACTTTCAGGGATAATTGGATGTTGAGGGAACGTAGTGGGAATTACATTATCGGGATTCCTGTTAATTCGGCCTTGAAGGAGACGAAGTACACCACGCGTCTACACCGGTGTATACAGGCAGCAGGGATGAAGGGGACGTTTAAGTGACATATTTTGTGGGAACACGAACAGGTACACCCACCTGAGCTTTCCGAGGTAGAGTAAGCCACGCTGTGATTTGATCAGACTGGTAATCCTTAATTAGTGCCTCATTTCAAAGCCAACAGTAATGGCTACTAGAGTATTCCTTAACACGACAATGTGGTATCAGTAGTGGATCGCAGTAACATGACATAATTCAAATGGAAGCTACAAATGTATCAAATATAACTCATTCAGGCATCATTGCAAATATACAACGATGACACCATGTGGTTGGTTATTTAGGAACGGTCGTACGTCAAGGCCTAAAGCCTCTAAGCCATAGTTAAACTGGCAGGGACGTCGCGCATAAAAAGTAGTTCAGTGCGACCAGCAAGAGGTGGAACCTGCCATTGGCAGACTGTAGATGCTCAGGAAGGGGCTTGCAATGTTCCAAATTAAGTGCCCAGAAATCAGCTTCATCGAAAATGCGTAAAAGTCGTGTGACCAATTCTGTTGAGTTGGCTTTAATATGGTACTATGATCTTGTGTCATCACTGATTTTCATTGGTCCATTCATATAATTTTCTCAGGTATTTTGCCCTTAACCCAAAATGGAATCTGTTTCGGCGGATAACAAAGACTTTTTTTTCCTCTTGCATTGACATTTTATATTTATCATGCCATAAACAGGGCCGATATCGATCTAACTATTAAAATAAAAATCACCATGAATGTTTGAATATTGTTATCTTGCACTGAGTGTAATAAATGTATCAATTATTTTGAATTAGAAAGTTTGATAGCGTTGGGGCGTAAGTAGTCAGTTTTAACCAGTTAAACTTAAGTGCGGATTTGCTATTTAAATAATTCATGCTTTGTGATCAGCAGCTCAGCCCTGAGTAGGCCAGTAGGCACCATCGTCCGTGACACTTCATGTACCGGGGGACATATATACAAATACTGGCATGAGGAATGAACAAATAATGCCACAGCCTTTGAAGAAAGGGGACAGCTTGAACCAATGTCAAAGGAAATTGATAAATTATTGGAATGACTGTAAGGTAATGTGAAGTGATTGATGAGAAATGAACGGACATGATTGGTCATTTTGATTTATCTCTCATCCCGCCGATGACGGCTCTGGTGGTAACTGCTTGTGACATTGGTCTGTCCATATTGCACCAAGGGAATCATCAAGTGCGGACCGATTTGTGGACATACAACTTTGTTGGCGGCCACAGTATTGACCAGGAAGATGACTAGCTGACGGTTTGTTGGGGTAATTTCAAATCAATCCTTACACTATTTCCATTCATACAAATCGAGCGTGAAAAGTTTCGAGACGAGCGACCAAGGTCTTAGACGGGGATGGCGAAAAGAGAATGAAATGCGCTTGACTTCTTGGATATATGGTGATTTATGGGTCATAACTTTGTCCTTATCGAATCTTTCGACCTTTCGGCTTCACTATTTGACAATGATAAGCTAAATGTGATCACATGGGATTAAGGGAGGCTGATAATCCAATCGTTTTGAAATACATCAATTCTCGCCATTCCCGAGATGGGGTATGAAAGAGCAAACGTCTAAATCATAACTTCTTTCTCCAGATCGACACATGGACTATTTAGACGAGGTTTATGTTGGCGGAAACGACGGCAAAACGAAGATGCTGGAGCTATTTCTTCCTTGCTTGACATGCTGGTAGAGTCTTTACTCCCAACCAACATAAACAAGTGATTGCTTCATTAATGTTTGGGTCATAAACAGTCCTGCTGTTGGGTTTATGACCATTTGTAATAATTACATATCAAAATAGGACGCTCTCTGTTTGTCCAATAGGCCTGAAAGAGACAAATGTGCCAAACGAAATATTTTATATGTTTGGTCGTACATTCGCGCCATTTCACAACACAATCTACTTGGATTTGTGCTGGCAATTCAGTTCATTTTTTATTCAATTTTATTCATTTTTTTCATATTTCCATGTTCAGTAGGACACAATACAGTCATCCTAGCGTTATTACCATAAACCCAGAAAACCGCGATATTGATCACATATATTTTAAGTGGTTTTATGATTTCATAGATACGTTTGAGATTTGACTCTCCGGAGTAAAAGATAAAAAGGTTGAACAATTAAGACCCGTCAACTTGATAGATACTTGATCCAGTGAAGAAATGTCAAGTTGTTTAACCTCATGTTGAAATCACGCTTTTTTAAATCGCCTATCACATTTGAGTCTTAATGTGACGTGTTAGAAAAAAACGTTTCAAAATATACTGAACATTTATATTTATACGTGCTTTTATCAGTATGTAGTAGTTTTTTCATCGTTATACAATGTCTAAATATAGGGTAGGTATATGAATATCTGCATGTCCTGCATTCAACGAGTAATTGTAAGTATTTATTGTAATCCAATGTGTTACTATTTGTTGAAAATGAACCATGACATATCATGCCTATAAACATAGACCGTTGTCACTGGTTAGACGTCATCCAATCCGTGAATGTATGCTCCTAGAAATAAACTAAACACAACCCTTTCTTTAGTTTCAAATATCCAGAACTATCATATATCTTTAGGAAACAACTACAGACATTGACCCGATGGGGATTCCGTGTTAGAACAGCAGCCCATGATTGTCGTAAGAGGCAACTAACGGGATTTGGTGGTCAGGCTCGCTGATTTGCTTTATGCATGTCATCTTATCCCAACTGTGTAGATCGATGATCATGATGTCAATCACTGTTCCAGACTAGATTATTTACAGACCGCCGTATAGCAGGAATATTGCTGAGTGCGGCGCTAAACAGCAAACAAACAAAACATATGACATTGACCGGACATTGAGTCCTCGTTGATCCCCAGCAACCTATGGTTGTCGTAAGAGACGATATAATTCACTCGATGACATGGGGAATAACAGGTCATCGTATCCCGAAGGGGCGGTGCTCGTATCAATATCAGATTCAGATTGTATTATTTACCGACTACAGATACACAGACATATCACTTAGTGTAGTGTTAAACATCTTGCAAACAGATTACATCGATTTCAAGACTTTACAAATGCCTTAAATACAATATGGTAGATTACAAATCACGCAAAACAAAGCAGATTTACCGTTATCGGTGGGTAGTTGCAACCATTGTCATCCCACGTGGTAATATTGCAGAAATAGATAATAATGCACATTCGACAGATCATAACCATTTATCAAAATTCAATTTTACGACACAAGACCATTACCATTTATCATCGATGACCACACGTTTTTAACGGCCCACGTTTGTGAAACATACAAATTGAGACTGGTCATGATGGCCGAACTGCTGCCGACACCCCATCAAACCATGCTATGTTCTACCACTGCCGCAATACATTACATACCAAATATGACCCTGTCATATACGAGTCCAGATAGTTTCAGTTGTGAGCCTTATGCCATTGGGTAAGGCGGCTTGATGCAGTGATGCAATAACTTCCACATCAATGTTCATTAAATTAATCTACACCGGAGGCAACTGGGGAATATAACAAACAGTTCTTTTGATGTATGGGAGACAAAAAAGGAACCAGTCTGTCATGGGGAGATATCGCTCTTTATTCAACATTTATCAATACCAAAAATATGGATGTGATTATTTTCTAATGCTGGCATAGAGCCTTAAGGGGAATTTACTTAACTGAAAAGAGAAAATAACGTCATAATGAATTGTTTGAGCAGTGCATGTCAGATGCATGCTTTTAGATAAGCTATAACGAAGATATTATTACATACTCAAATACTTATAAGAAGGGCTTCAACTATTTCATTACGTGGGGCCTATCTAAACATTGATCACATTTCCAGACACGGGATACTTTAGCACACTTTTAGCTATATCTATTATATATAACGTTACATATATGTGGCATTTAAAGGGTGTTATCTCTTTTCCAGTATGGATAGGTTTCACACGTACATTCTTAAAGCACAGAAACTGAAGAAAAAAAAAGAAAATGCAAATTGTTGC